TTTTTTTTTTTTAGTCCTTCAACTGCACTGCGGTGCATACATAGTATATATAGGTTATATCATGTATCTTATATTGTTTTTCGAAAAATACGTATGTGACAAAGGCTGATCTTTTCTATCTTAAAGTAAAGGGATGAAATACAGTTTGTTTGATCCCTATTGTACCCAGACCAGAGAGCCATTTAACTCCCTGTTACAAATTCCTTTCAAGTTTCTTTTTCTATTATTTTTTAAAATATTACATGGGCCAACAGTTAACTGCCAAGTTTGAACTCCACAGCCCTGACCAGTCGGCCACTGAAGGCGGGTTAGCCTATGGATTGGCTCGGTCCAGTCTCGAGCTGCTTATTGGATTGACTCGGTCCGCTCTAAAGCTAGTTATCTGATGGACAGAGTGGGTTTGAACTGGCTCGCTCAAAGGAAAAGAATTCTTGATTTTCCGTATCAAAATAAAAGACATTATAGCTGTCGAAAAGAAAATAAATTCGTGGATGAGATCAAATATGTAGTTCCAAAACCCTTGTAGAGCCCATTTTGTCTCTGTAACCATCCATTTTCTCTGGAAGTGTTAGAATGTGCTATATTGTTCGATACCGTCTAGTAATGATGTACTAAAATGTGCCCTTTATTTCTTTGAACTAAATTGTTCAAGAAGATTGCACAACATCATGATTCTTCGTACAAATTCGCCATAGCTGATCTGCTGCTTCATTCATGGCTTCTTCTTCCTCATTTTTCATTTTCTGGGTCAATTCCATAGCTTTAGCCCTTAAACATTCCCCATCATTCTTCTCCAAAATCGTTGTCTTTATAGCCTTTGCCACCTCTTCTGCCATAAACAGTCCGTCGTCATCCCTCAGGACCTCCATGGCCGCACCACCATCGACTACCAGTCTAGCGTTTATGGGCTGATCAAGTTTCAAAGGCATGGCTATAAGAGGAACCGCAAAATAAATACTTTCAATTACAGTACTCCACCCACAATGGCTCGCGAAACCACCAATATTGGAATGTGCCAAGATTTCTGTCTGCGGTGCCCATCCCTGCAGAATTTTCCCTCTTTCTTTCACTCTTTCAAGAAATCCCTCCGGCAATGATTCATCGATTCCTACTGCATTTTCAGCAGGAAATCTAACAACCCATATGAAGTTTACATTGATTAACTCTAACCCTTCTGCTATACACTGTAGAAAACTGATCTTTGGTACTTAGCCATTTCATGATTTCTGGATTTTCCTCTTCATTATTAACATGTGTAACAAGAGAGCCAAACCTTTTTTTCTGGCACAAAATCGAAAGATAATCGATATATTGTTCCTCTATTCCTTTACAAAATTACAAGTCTTGATCAAAACAATGTCATGAGATTGTTTAAAGATTCCAAAAGCAAAACCTTTAGCGGCATCTTTGCCTTTTATCGATTCACGTCTAGCTTTCATATCCTTTTCTTCGTGATCACGCTGATATATAGCAGGAAAAGGGAAATCAGCATCGCCATGTGTATAATTATGATGAAAAAATGACATTATTGTTGCTCCAGAAGTAGAAAAGTGAACAGCAGGAATACCTGTTGAAAACATATGATATAAATAGATGAGGTTTGTATCATCTCTTAGTTTAGAATTTTTCAATATGGAATTGAAGAAAATGTATCAAGTCTAAAACCGTTTTTTTTTTCCCTTTCTCTTTCTCTCTCTAACTGAGTTCGTCCTCTCTCTATAGATTTAATCTTGTAGACAACGTGGTGTCACATAGTACTAGATTACTAGACATAAGTCTTAAGTTCAATTCTAATAGTCGTATATTTTTTAAAAATCTTGCATGTGTCAAGACTCTGATGCGAAAATGAATTTGAAATTCACATGAGCGACATGTTGAATATCTAAATTACTTTGTCCTATCTTTATAATTTTAATTTTAATCTTTTAGATGAGAAGATTTAACATAGGATTAGAGTAGACAAAAGTGTTAAGTTCAAGTATCGAAGCACTGTATTTCTGAAAACCGTGCATGAGTCAAGCCTTTGATGAGAAAATGATTTTGAAAATGTA